GCTGGAGGGGGAGGAGGCGGAGGAGGAGGAGGACGAGGCAGCGGAGGAGGGGAAAGACGAACCACGAGGAGGCGGGGGAGGAGGAGGCGGCGGAGGGGGAAGAATGAAAAGAATTAATCACCAGGACATGTACGGAACACCTTTACCCCCCTCCTGCCCCCCTCCTGCCCCCTTCCTGCCCCCCTCCTGCCCCCCAACACACCTTCTTGACGTATCCTCGTGTCTGCCAGGCCCGGGATATGCCATCCCACTTCTCCGGAGTGCAGATGATGATGTCCGCCGCCAGCAGCGCCCGCAGATCAGGTGTGTAATCGCCTGGGGGGGGGGGTTAGGAGGCCCACACAGGGTGGTGGTGGTGGTGGTGGTGTGGTGTTGCGGAGGTGCAGGCTGATAGTCTCACATCGCATCGCAAGGTGCACACATACACACACATACACACACATACACACATACACACATGCATGATACACAAGTGCGCCGCCCACCATTGGCTGGTGACGACCCCCCAACGCATCAACCAACACCATCAGTATCTCCCCCCTCTCCCCCCCCTCTTGCCCCCCCCTCTTGCCCCCTTCCCCCCTCTTGCCCCCCCTCAAGCCCACCTGTCAGCTCCACCATCTTCTTGCCCAGCAGCGGACACAATCTGGCCCCCCAGTCGCTCATCCTCTCCCTCACCAGCGCCTTGAGCGGGGCCACGTAGATGACCTTGTGACCCGGGTGGGCGCTCCACAGCCGCATCATGGTCAGCTCGCTGCTGATGGTCTTACCTGGAACGGGGGGCCGGGGGGGGAGGAGAAACGGGTGTGTGCATATGTGTGTGATGCATGTGTATGTATGCATGTGTGTGGGGGTGTGAGGAGTAGGGCGGTAAGATGGAAAATCAGGACATGCATGCTACCATGGCCTACTGCTGTAACATCCTGACTCGTACGAATCAGCCTCAATGCAAATCACCACCACTAGTAGCACAGAAGGACACACATACATACGTACATACATACACATACATACGCAAGCACACATACACACGTACACACATACACACAGCGACACGCAGGCCCCCACCCACCCACCCACCCGACCCGGTGGGTGCCCCCAGCAGCACATTCTCGTCCGTGTGGTACAACGTGTGGAAGGCCTGGGTTTGGATGGGGTTGAAGTGCGTGAAGCGGCCGCCGTACAGCGCCTCGTAGGCGGGGTGGCGCAGGGCGGCCAGGGGGAGCGGATCCAAATCCAGGAGCTCTGAAACCAAAAAGGGGAGGAGGGGGCAGCAGGGAGGGAGGGGGGGAAACCCTGAGAAGAAAGCCATCGAGGCAGGGTTCTTCACCCCGATTCGGGCCCGAACTTTTTTGAGACTTTTCCGTTTTGCCCGAAAGGAAAATTAGTGCGCCCCGGAGCATCCCGAACGGATTTGGGGCCTTTTGGAGCATTTTTTCGGGGGCCCCACCGAAGCATTTTGAAGGCATTTTCGGAGAAAACCGAACGATATTTCAGCGTAAATTAGCATGTTTTCGGGCGCAGACCGGGGCTGGAAACCGGGCTTGCCGTATAAGGCCCGCTTGGTCACCAGTCAAACAACAAGTACAAATGTGCATTGCGGCTGTTTCGCAGCTGTATCGCACACATTTTCATACATCTAAGCATATCCATATCCCACATTTTCATACATCTAAGCATATGCATAGTTAAACATGCCCGAGTC